CCACCTTCACCTTCCCTTTAACTTTTACTTTGACCTTCACCTTCACTTTCACTTTCACTTTCACCTTCACCTTCACCTTCACTTTCACTTTCACTTTGACCTTCACCTTCACCTTCACTTTCACTTTCACTTTAACCTTCACCTTCATTTTCACTTTCACTTTGACCTTCACCTTCACCTTCACTTTCACTTTGACCTTCACCTTCAACTTCACCTTCACTTTCACCTTCACCTTCACCTTCACTTTCTCCTGTCCCGTTGGGGCACCACTGTGACTGTAGATTTTGTAACCGGCTTCTTCCGCTCCTCTCACATCTCAGCTTTCTGTAGTATGTTGTCCTTGTCACGGCCAGTCCACCCTTACATGTTGTCTTCCCATCGTTTCCTCCGTCTCCCTCTTCACCTCTTCGCCTCCCTATATGTGCTGTTTTCTGTGGTACAGTATAGGCCAGTCCAGATGAATATGTGACGTGCCCGTATCACTTCAGTTTGAATTTAGTTTTAGTAGTGGTTTTACGGCGCTCACAACTGCATAAGGTCATATGAGCGCCAAGGGGTGGATGCCAACAGAGAAGTCCAAAACGGGGAATCAGACTTATTCTGCTCACCCCTCAAGCCTCAAGGGCACAAAGTCTGCTTTGACTATCAAGACACCCCGGAAATAGCAGTTCACAAGAGAGTGACAATCATACAGAAGAAGTAGGGGGAAAATGACGATAGTAAGGATGAGCAAAGAAAAAGCGGCAGTTCCCCCTATGTTGTTCCGGCACAGTATCAGCATGACTTTGATACAACAGGTGCTTAGGATTAACGATTTTCAGTCCATTTACAATTCTACTATGCATAAGAACATGTTAATACACCCCCCCCCCTTTGAGAACGGCCTAAAGACACTTCAGTCAGCAGCACTGCCCTAGGTTGGGGGGGGGGGGATTTTAAAGGTTAGATTTGAGCTCAGTGCACTCGAAAACCAACGGGTGGCAAGGATTTACGATTTTCAGCGTATGTATGACTTTTTTCATGGTTCATTTGTTGTTTGCTTCAACAAGTCTGGTGAACAGGTCTGTAGTAAAGAGTCAATTAATGTTGAAGGATCCATTTGAAAATACTTTTGAAATTTTGAGTATCAATTTCGCAACTGGGTCCTTAAGTGATGATATTCACCACATTGGTTTCTTAATCTGTTTCTAGGATGAATGGACACGATCGGTGACTGCTGGGCCTCCTTTCCCGCTAATAAAACAGCAATGGTAACGGTTGTCTCTTGACAGCGTCATTGTAGTAAAGGAGGTCAATCCCAGAAGGTGACGAAATGGCGGGTGCGAAGTGAAACGTTTGTATCCTTCAACAACCTTCAATTTGCGGACAAAGCTAGTATATTTTCGGACTGACAATGTCACAGAGCCCTACAAGCTATAAATAGAGACATAAATTCCAACCGTGAGCGACACCACTGACTTAGTGACTGTAAAAGCTTTGTTACAATTGCCAGAACGAAAGTACTTTCTTTGAACATCCCCTCTGACACCCCCTCCCCCCAGAAAAAAAAGGGGGGGGGGGGGCACGTGCGTTGCCGTCTTCCTGACCTCTCTACAGATTTTCGGTTTAAAAAAAAAACAATATAAAGTAAAAACGTCCTTGTTGGAAGCCGTACAGGAATCACTTCTGGGACCGTTAAGTAATTTCTTTTCTGCCACTCACCACATCACATTACAATATAATATACATATATACACACCTGGTGTCAGGGTCGTTGGGTTTGTCGGGGTCGGTGGGGGACCTGTGGTGGAAGCCTCGGCCGCACACTGAGGAGTATTAAAAAATTGGAAAACTACAACTTCAGTTCCAGTGGACGTTTGTGAAATCTACATGTTTCCTGTGGAATAAGTAGGCACTTGCATTAGTCAAAGCAGAGTCCGTGCTGAACTCAAACAATCCAACACTAGGAGGTGTATAAAAAAAGGAAGAAACTATTACAATAGACTAGAGACCTTCAAGTTACAAGTTTTCTTGCTGCCGTAAAGCGTATTCAAG